CCCTCCCTCTAGGAGCTTATACTCAGCATCAAACACATTACTATAGACATATTGGAATGCTACTAGGAATAAAATTGAAACATTAAAGTCATACATGGATAGACAGGCAACTGCATTATGTAAAGGTTAAGTAGAAGTGGATTTATAGTGGAAAGAAGCAGTGAGAACCTAATCAGGGCAGAGATCAGGAACTGCATGTAGAAACTGGGCAGGGTGAGAGCAGTCACTTACCTAATCAGCCTTGGAAGGTGTCATGGGAGGAGTGGTTATTAAGCAGGAACTACCTGACTGAATGGGAGCTGAAGATATTTTTTAAATATGTGATTTTTAAATTAGTGAATTAAAGGCTATGTGTAAAATATACTATAGCAAAGCAGAAGGATTCATTTTCTTTCGTCTTTGGCTCTGAAATCACCCTAAAAGGCCATCTTTATCATGTGAGAGTGTCCTTTTACAAAAGTAACATTCTAAAAATGAATTCAATATTTTAATTTCTAGTTTTATATCTTAAATTTTGCCTGCAAAATGAGATGTTTACTATTTTTCTTTGTAACCAAAGTCCCTGGAAATATCCAGGTACAAGGTCTAATGTAAAAGAAACGAGTTTTAGACTTCAAAGAATTGCAAGAGATGTCTCAGTTCCTTGTCTGGATGAACTCTACTTTATGCTATCCAAAATTTATGAGCACAGAAACCCATCAGATAATTAGAGCCAAGTTCAAACCCTCTGCCTACTTGATCTTCTATAAGTAAGGCATATTTCAAGAGAAGGGGTGTCAGTGGGTACATGGGTGACTTGACACACTTTCCTTGGGTGCAGAGATTGTAAAATCATCCTATAGTGAGCCCACACTCACCTTTGACAATACTTTCAAGATTATGGGGGAAGATTCTTTTCATGTATGACTGAATCCTCAGTGCTCTAGTATTACAACCAATTCCCCATGTTATATTTCTGGTAGAGGGGTGTCCTCTCGTTATCTGTGAAAAAACTCTTGAGATGCACAATTTGAAGATATTACATTGCCTCTCAGTATTGTCTTCTCTAGACAGGGCCTTTAATCTTTCTTAAAGGTCTTATTTTCCAGTCCTTTAATCATCTCTGTGGTAAAAAAAGAAAAAACAACAAAAAAACTCCATCTCTTTTTGTCTCCCTCTGGATATAGTCGCTGACTAGTATGAGTCCTATGAGTTATATTTATATTTTTCCACGCAAGTTCTACCTTTCCTGTTTAAATGGAAGTGTTGCTGTTGATTCATCATATCGTTTTGAGAAACAACAATAACAAAACATAACTATGAACACAGTTCAAAGTAAGACACAGAGTAACAAGTAAACCAGAATTACCTTTCCTTTGTATTACTCGCTTCCCTTTTAGGCTCCACTTCACGGGGAAGTATGAGCCTTGATTATCTATTTTCACCAAATAAGACAGGGATATTAACTCAGGTAAGCAGAACGATTGTTCCTTTCATCTCAGCAATTCCACACCTACTCACCTTCCAATTGACTTTTTATAGAATATTAGTTTGCATTAAAAAAAATCCATTTAATTGCATTGGAAAAACACTTCACTGCCATACTCCAGGCCGATACCACGTTGCAGCTGCTCCTATTTAAAGGATAATTGTAGCCTCGCTCTTCTACAAGGAACTAATTCTGATTTTGAAAGGATTTGTCCTCACAGTTTATCCTGATGAGAGAGAACTGGATTATTGCCGTGTAAAATAGCTGAATAGTCCTATTACGGCTATTATGCCACAAATGTTGTGTATTGTTGAAGATCAAAGTACTGTACCACACTCGACGGCAAGATGTACAAGGCTGGCACACTTCCCCTATAATGTAAAAAACACTGCATTTTATGAGTCATTTAGTACCATGTGAGGTATCTGTGGACACTATATCATTTCCTTCAAACTTTCCTCATCATTCTGAGATCCCTTATTTTCTGGTTGAAAGACTTACAATCTCGTCATTTCTCACTAGTCTCCCCAGGAAATAAACCTCAGGACTCTGTGTTCTCTCATTGTATGTACTACGTATTGCATGTCATTCTATTTTACATTTAAATTACTTTAGTAAAATACTAAGTAATTCTGGACAACAGTAAATTCTCACTGGTAAATTGAGAAAATGTAAACATTTCACATCAAAACCACTAAGGATGTTTCCAGAACCCTTAAAATGTGTAGGATTCAGTGTGGTTTAGGTTCTAAGGAAACAAGCAGAGCTACTTCACCCCCATCTAACTGTGATAGGAAAGTAAATCTGTAAATACATGCATACCAAGATGCCTTAGAGTGTAAGGTGGCCCAGATGAGGTGTCAAGTGAATGGTATTTAAAAAGAATTGAGGTTTTCTTCTGCAGGAGAGATGCTGGCATCAGCTATTACCAGAAGCTTGCCATTAAATACAGGGAGGCCAGGGAATGACTGAATTTTAATTTAGTTATAGAATATTGTATGCTTTGATTTTAATGTTAATATTTGGCATTTCAAAATAAATCCTTCTATCAGATGTTTCATTCTCATAGTCAATACGTAGAGGGCTTCTACCCTGAAAGAAAAAATTACTCTAAAATCTAACAAAGAATGCCCCTCAGGAAGTGCCATTTTCTTATTGTTGAATGATTTTTTATAAGACTCTTATAAATCATGGATAGGATTAACTGTCTAGGGGACATTTTCCCTAAAGTAACACATGCCCTATGTTATGTGGACACATTACTATAAGATCTGGACTTAGCTACGCAGGACAAAGAATTAGTAAACATAAAATGTGGTCAATGAAAACAACTGCAAATGTGAAAACACAATAATTATGAAACTATAATTATAACGAAGATGGGTAATGTTGAGGGAGCAAAGTGAAATGCTAAGTCTGGTTTTAATTAGTGGTTAGGGTTTCCAGTGTAATTTGTAAAACTAAATAGAAAGTGAAATTAAATGTAAAGAAATTAGGGTCAGGACTAAGACACAGCAGGCATTTCATAAATTGCTACATCGATACAAGTAAGGAAATGTTTTGCTCATAGGCACACACTTTTTGGTAGCGAGAGTACATAAGTTCCTAGTTCAGATGACCACATTAAAATTTGGACCTATACAACAATTTGCTCACGTTTAATTAGAGTAACTGAAGAAATTGGCACCCTCAGCCTCTGAAAACGCAGATGCCGGCACTCTGGGAGTAGTGATCCTCAATATACCCTTGTGAGATCCAGCAATAATAACAATTAATAACAATAATCCAAACTTTTATTTACTACAACTGTGCTTTTCACATTTCTTGTGTACCCAACTTATCCTTCCTTCTAGGCCAATGATTCTCAATCTTTCCTGAAAGTTTCCTTACCACTAGATAGCTTTTAACAACTTCCATGCCCAGACCCTCTCCTAAATGAATTGAGTCAGAATCTACAGGGGAGGAGGAGCCCAGGCATGAGTATTTTTCAAAGCTTCTAAGGAGACTCCATTGACCAGATAAGGTTGAAAATACTGCTCTAGGAGACTACAAGCACATCTGAAGCAGAAACAGTTTTAGTTATTTGTTTTCTATTAACCTATGCACAATACATAGCATAGGGCTTTGTCCTGCTCCTATGTCTTTGCTGGATAATGCATAAATGAAAGAATGAGTGCACAAATAAATGAGTAAATTTAGCTGTGAAATAGAGTTGAATGTCCTAGAAAATGGAAAGTAATAAAACCTCTCTACTATTTTATCTTCCAAATTAATAAGTTTTATTCAGAGGTTTCACTATTCAACTTTCCCCAAGTTTTTCTTGGGAGAGGAGTACACCCATTCGACATATGGTAGATCTTGGGTGGGTGGAGCATTCTAAAGAGAGTATTTCTTCAGATTACACTGAGATAACAGTCATGGTCTACTCTCTGTGAGTGATTGGAGTTGAGAGCTTTTTTTCAACCAAGAGATCATACTCCCATGCGTTGGGAAAAACTCAAGCAATTCTCTGAGGCCTGCTGGGTGTCCTACAATTTAATTCAATTCTGACACTATCTCCTGGAGAGAGCATCATAGCCCATAGGTGAAGCGCTCAGTCCTACAGAATTGCTCTCCCCACTTCAGACACCAAGCCTAAGTCCAGGTTGTCACTTGTGCTTCTGATTGCCAACAAATAGGGGTTCCTCTGATGCCCTCCTTGGGTTTGATTAATTTGCTAGAGTGGCTCACAAAACTCAGGAAAACAGGTTACTTGCTAACTATCAGTTTATTATAAAAGAATATGATAAAGGATATAGATAAACATCCAGATGGAAGAGATGCATAGAGCAAAGCATGTGGGAAGGGGTGCAGAGCTTACACACCCTCTGGAGGCACACCGCTCTCCCAGCTCCTATACATGTTCACCAACCTGGAAGTTCTCCAAAACCTATATTTGTGGGATTTTTATGGAGACTTCATCACATAGGCATGATCAATTATAAACCCCATTTTCATTCCTCCCCTCCCACCCCCATTGACGGTCATGATCTATTCTCCATGTATAAGTGATTGAAGTTAAGAGCTTTTTCTATCACCAGGTCACATTCTTACCCATCACACCATGAACAAGCATATCACTTTGACTCTGAACCAGACCCTTGATTAAGTAGAGGGACATACAGGTTCTCATGCATTTGGGTTTTCCCTCAAGACAGAGGAAAGCAGTAGGTTTAAAGAGCAAAGTGTAGACATTATCATCTCCCCAGGTATCAAGATGTTGATAATAATATTGCTCCTGCCCAGAAGCATTCCATTTTCCCAATCTTCCTGGTTCACAGGGTCATCAAGTAGAAATCAATTATGGATTCTAAAGAAGCCTTTCAAAACTGAATTTTGAAATGATGTAATATTCTGATGACAGAAATTTAACCTAGGAAATGTTTAAACCTAAAAGTTTCTTTTATAAAATTGCTCAAATAAGTACATGTAGGCACACTTCAGCATCTATAATTGAATTTTGAATGATGATGTTACAAACCACAAAGCTTCATTTAAATTTTATCATAAAGACCTTTATTAAGAGAACATATTTTTTATTACTTTTATTTTGTAACCTGAAGGGTCTGTAAATATAGAGGTTCTTCTAAATCCAGTGGAAAAGAAGTCTTTCTTCTTACTGTTTTCTCCTTACACGGGTCTCCACTATGCCCCTTGAGGTAGGATGGAAACTGGATTTTTGCTACTTTTAAAAATGATAGGAAGAAAAAAACAAACAAAGGCTTAAGAGGAAAGGATGCAGGACAATACTTAACAAAAGGTTCCTAAAGGATCGATGCATAGACACCCAAGGATGTCAGTTTTATCATTTCTTACACTGTCTTCATAGATTATTCCAGAACTCTCTCCTTGATGCATGACTGGTGCTTTCAATTGCAGAGGAAGCAACACAGCTGTGGGAAAGTTGCACAGAGCAGCTTGCAGTCATGGTGCACTAGAAAGTGGTGTAGAGGTGGTAAAAGGTTACTAGTATCCTCCTTAGTGCCAGAAACAAGTGGGAGAGATGAAGTACCTCCAGGCTCCTTTGCAGGGACTTGGGCCCTAGTGTATAGGGCTGCTCCTTCCTGGAAAGGTAAATATCACCCACTGCTGCTTGGACTGCCCAAGGACACATAGCTGAGGATAAATCTGGATAGGTTAGGCTAGGCCAAATTTTTCCAACCACCTGGAGACACGAAGTTGCAAGTTTCCAGATTTGAGAGAGAACATGAGAAAACATGATTGGCTATCTCCTCACCCAACTTATGGAACAGAGAAATAGGGAGGCTGATTCCAGGTCTAACATGGAACCTCCAAAAGTATCATTGGGCTTCCCACTATAAAAAGACAAGAATTCGCAAAGCGGCAAGTAAGAAACTCATGTGTTTTTCCTCTAGCCCGATCGTGTGCGCTGCTAGTCATTTCCCTATGTACCCTTTGAATTACCCCTATGGTCTTTTGCGAGTCCTTAAGGCAGCCGCAGCCTTCGCAAAACGTCCAGTGGAGCACAAATCACGGGAGGTGAGGGCGGGAGTCGGGAGCGAACAACAGACCGGGAGCTACTCCTCCAGCCCGGACGCACCCTGCAGTCCGTTCAGGTCTCTAGGACCACTGCAGCCACGGAGGGTTAGCGCTCTCTGAGGATTGCCGGCCCCAGGAGCGGCGCTGCGTGGAACAGTCACCTCCACCAAGGGATGGGAGTAGGGCTGGGGAAGCAGAAACAGGGGTGGGGACAACACAGCAGGGGGAGGTGGCAGACACAGAGAAGGAGGTGGGGACCGCCGCGGAGGGGGCGGGGTGGGGCCAGGGGCGGGCCCGGGGGCGGGGCTGCGGGGCGGGGCACCACAGCGCCCCCTTGCTGCGCGCTGCCCGCTGTGCCCCGAGGCCGCCGGCGGCTCTGGCTCGCCAGCCCCTTTGTGTGCGACGCGCAGGCCGGGAGGAGAGCCGCTGGGGTACAGCGGAGGCTCCCCGGAGTCCGACTGCCTCGGCCGGCTCCCGGCCGCGCTCTTCTCCTTCCCCGCCCCTCCCTCCTCCGACCCCCGGTCCGAGCAGCAGCCATTGGGCCGCGAGCTGTCCGCGTCCTGCCGCGCACCCTACCCCGCCCGGAGCGGGGCGTTCACCCCCCTCCCGCACTGTCCCCTCATCATGCTTCCCCACCCCCAGCCCAGGCCTTCAAGGTGGAGAAAATAAACTAAAAGCAGAGCAACTCAGAGACTCCAATAAATTGCCCAGTACCTAGAGCCCCAGCGCAAGCTCGTGTGCTGGGCCGCGAGGGGCGCGGAAGGCGGGGTGGGGGGACCGGCGGGGGAACAATGAGCGCATGAAGTTACCTGCCCGGCGGCGGAGGGGCCAGGAGGCGGCGGCGGAGCGGGCTGCGCGCTCGGCGCCGACGGGTGCGCGCCGCGGCTTGGAGGAGAGTTGAGCGCTTTCCCCCCACCACCACCACCCTTTTTTTTCTTTCTTTCTTTTTTTTTTTTTTTCTCCTCTTCTTCTTAAACAAACCACAAACGGATGTGAGGGAAGGAAGGTGTTTCTTTTACTCCTGAGTCCAGACACCTCTCTCTGTTCCGTCTAAGCTTGTTTTGCTGAACACTTTTTTTAAAAAAGGAAAAGAAAAGGAGTTGCTTGATGTGAGAGTGAAATGGACGTAAGATTTTATCCACCTCCAGCCCAGCCCGCCGCTGCGCCCGACACTCCCTGTCTGGGACCTTCTCCCTGCCTGGACCCCTACTATTGCAACAAGGTGAACGCTCTGCTTTTGTTTCCACCGTGTTCTTGCCGCTTGATCCCGGGAGGGGGGCGGCGGCTGCGGCGGGCCAGCGCGGCGGCCGGCGCCGGTCGGCGGAGGCCGGTCCCGGGCGCGCTCGGCTCGCCGCAGCTACAGCCCTGCGTGCGCCCGGGTAGTAAATATTGTGGAGCAGCTCCCGGGGTTTGCCAAACACCGCGACTGTGCGGAAAGTGACACGATTTGCTAGGATTCTTTCCTTCCTGCTGTTCGCGACTAAGGATCCCTGCTTAGGTTTGCCGGGGGGCATTTACAAAAAAATTAAGAGAAAACCGTGGAACACTTTGGGGGTGTGTCTGGGGTCTGGGAACGGAAGCAGAGAGTAAGAGAATTGTTTATTTTCTAGTTTTCCTGCTCCCTTCCTCTCCCGCAAGGGCAGCAAGGACTCGAGCACCTCTTTCCTGCCCGGGATTAGTTGCCAGGGCAGGGGAGCAGCTGGGAGTCGGGGTGCAGGGACCCGGGAGACTCTTCCGCCCCCCATCGGGAAAATTGCTCCACAACTCTTTTGTTTCCCCAAACCTGTTCGGGCGGCCGAACCCGGTGTTCGGACACCTGTCTGGGGCCAGTGTGCAGAGAAGTAACCAAGTTTGGGGGTCAGGTCCCGCTGGGGGGTGGGGGGGGGGTGATGCGCGCAGAAAATGCAAGTTTGTTAGGAGCTGGGCGAGCGCGTCGCGTTCCTGTCCGAAGCTTCCGCACTCGGACCCAGCCTGGAGAGGGTCCCAGGCTGTGCTGCACCCACAGACCGGTGACCCCATGTACCAAGACCGCGGGGGACCGAGGCAAGGTTGGCCATGAGGGTGGCTCGGGGTGGGGGCGCCGGCCGCGCTACTGCGGAGCGCCGTTCGTCCCTAGGATAGAACAGCCAGGAGGTATGGAGGGAGGGGATCATTCTTGGGGCTTCTCGAACTCGGAACCGGGGAGGAAGAGGCGCTGGGACCGGCTCCGAGAGCAGCCGCCAGGGCCACGGCAGTCCTCGCCTCTGGCTTCCTGGACGTATCTAAGCAGTCCTCCCGGTGAACGCTGGCGGGAAGAACTGAGTTCTTGGAGACGCGGGGCGAGCGGTGTAGATGCCGCTCTCCGGCTGGTTGGTAAACCTGCCTGATAGAGCCCCAGCTGGCAATTCCATGTCGGCCCCTCGGTGAATTCCACTGGACACATCATTGGGACCGCTAACATTTGCCTGGTGGCGAGTCATCATTAAACAGCTTTTTTTATTTTTATTTATTTTTTTACGGGATACAGAGGTATTTAGCCCTCTGCGTCCTTAGTCCCCGGATCCCCACCACCCAGCCCTCTCACTGATCCTAGTAGTCAGTGGGGGACACACACACACACACACACACACATACACACACGGTTGTGAGTTAAGTGAGCCACAGATATCACTCTGAGGAGAAGCTCCTCGATGCTGTGTACAGTGTAAGACCCAGGGGTGTGTGCCGATGGTGTCTAAGCAAGTTTGAAACGAGGGAGGTCAGCTAGGGGCAAGTCTGAAGGCACCAGTAACTGGCGAGAGAAGTCTGTGCGATGAAGTTTCATTATTTGTTGCTAGAGTAGTTCTGTTGCTCTAAAATCTGTATAGCCTTCATAAGCAAGTATTTTGTGTTTTTGTAAACTTTCATTTTGCTTATAACATTATTACTAAAACAGACAAAAAAATTGATAAAGTGGCAGCTCTATCGTGGATAGTAAAGACATTTACAGTATGGAACCAAAAGGTCAGAATCATTTTGGCAGTGAAACAGGACAAATCTTATTAAATTTATCAGTGATTTCAGACTCCCAAAAGAAGGTAATGACTTGGATACACATTTCACTCGTCATTCTTGTGATATTAGGGTCAGAATTAATTTAAAAGTTAAATGCTTTGGAAAATCAAGAATTACTTCAATATATTAAATTATTTCCAATTAAGTGCCTTAAATAATTTTAGTGGGTTGTGCTGTGAATTGAATAAATTAATGTAGAATGTCTTCACAATTTCTTTACTAGCTCATTGAAGTTCCTTTTAAGTCATCCCGTGTATGAGGAGCAAACTGTTCTTTTTAAATGCAAATTAGCCACCTTTTCTATAGACTAGTTCCAAGTCTTTAACTTATCCAGGGAATAATGGATTTTTAAATGATGCAAAGTCATGATATACTTCTAATAGTAGGAAGAGATTTCATGGAAATGTTTCTAACAGAACACCTTCTGCCCTTCTCTGTCTAACAGTCTATCAAATATATTTGTCACTGATCCCCGATTATATTAAATGTCCTGAATAGGTTTGTTAGGCCCCAGAAAGCCCAGGCATTCGTTTTTTTCTTCTCCATCATGATTAGCATTGGTACAGAATTTCTGTCCAGCTCCCCTAATTTAGTTGCTTAGAATGTAGGCAATTAGTATTCATTTTTGCAGTGATCCAAGTGGATTTTCAGGGATATGGAAGATGGGCAGATTTGGAAGATGTGAAGTAAGAAATCTTCATCCACATTTAGTTCAAACATGTGGGATCGCACTTGCCCAAATGAGACAAGGCTGCAAAGTGAGCCTTGTATCTTGAAGAGGTATGATGAATACATTATTGATTACAAGAAGCAGTCGCTTTGTCAGGTTATTTGTTTTTAATAGGGTGACAAGATCATAAATTAGTAATTATCTTTATTTTAAATCTGTCCACACTCTGCCAGTTAAAGTTGGTTTGCTAAATCCCAGCAGAACAAGTGTCTTTCTGTGCTTCAGAATCATGCAGTTGTAACTATAGTTTCTCCAATGACATTTTTTCAATGTCAGAAGAGACCCTAATCAAGAAAATGAATATCCTCTTCCTGAAGCTTTTCTAAACTAAAATGAAGTTGTTTTACTCTGCTGACACTTTCTAGCACTGCTGCTCTGTAGATTGTCAAAACACTACTTATATTTCAGCTAGTAAACTCCATAGGAGGAATTTTTCAGGAAACAGTTTAATCTAGTATTGCTGTATTGTAAGAGCACATTATGGTAGGAACATATCACTATGCAAATGGGCCTCCATTTTCACATAGCCCATTGCAGGAGAAAAGTGAGAACAATGCTAATCATGTTGATTATGGCAACTGTGTGAAGCGTCTCTTACAGAACAGCCAGAATGGATGGCATGTTACTGTATATAGGTCAGCCTTTGAAAAAGCAGTGTAACTCATAGACTGGACAGAAACATGTAGACTGAAAGTCACTGTGTTCACCTCTTGCAATTTAAAGCATGTTTATGTTTGAGACATTGAGAGATGGATACCACAGTCCAGTTTCATCTAATTAAGACTATTTTAAGCAACATTGCATCCCTTAATTGAGCTGAATGCTACCAAAAGAAATTGGATTAAAGGATCCCACAATTGGAGTTCAGTAATGAAATACAGTCTATTTTTTGTTCTAGTTGAAGATGTCAGAGCATCAGTTTAAATATATACCTACAGAGTAATAACAGTTCCTTTCAGTTTCTTAGTGCAGTGTCATTTGTAAAGATTGTTTTCACTGATTTTATGCTAAATTGGGACAAAGAAGTGGTACTTGTTCATTTTTACAATGATGTGATGTGTTCAGTTATTGCTCAGTGTCTGCCCACATAAGGAGTAGTAATACAATTGTGTTATGACATGGCTAATGACAGGGCTGTTGACCTCTGCCAGCAGTAGGAGAGGAAATAATGGTCTTTACTGTTCTCAGTGGCTGCTTTTGTGGAATCAAGTCCTGAATCTCTCTTTGGTTGATTTAGACACAGGGAAGTCCAAAACACAAACTCGTATGATTAATACTAGTTATAACAAGAGTAAAGAATAATGGGCAATTGGAATATTGGGCCTTTATCATTGAAATGAGGAAGGACAGTATATAATCTTTTCACATAAACATAGTAAGAAGGACTTATTTGTGATGAACTCTGCATCACAATGTCAGGGATACCATTAAAAATTTGACAACTTTGGAGAAAAGCAAGATTCATTATCATCTCTGCAAAATCTCTGTTAAGCTTATTTTCCCACTTAGAGTATCATGTACTGTAGTTTAATACAGCAAAACTCATCACATCTAACATACAGGATTTGCAAGCACATGAAGATGGAGTCATTATTCCTATCTTAATAAATGAAAGAAAAAGGAGGAGGATGGGCAAGAAGTAGGAGGAGGAAGGGGAGGGTTATAAGCAATTTAGAGCAACATGCTTGATTGGTTTTCTACACACCCCATAACTTCAAGGACCTGGAGAAATTCATAGTTGATACTTTGGTCATGATTAGTGTAACCAAAACTCCCCTGGGAGTTTTATTAACTAGCATCATCTGTAAGTTTTGAGGTCTTTAAATATGTTTTGAATAAATTTATTGGTAAGAAAGAGCATAAACCAAGCAATCGTAGGATTTTGACCACTAAATTGAATATCATACAAAACCCTCAAATGTAGCTGTCTTGACTTACTGGGATATTTCAGGCTCACAGACACCAATTTTAAATGTTTATGCAAAAATTAGTTATGAGTTTTGGAGAGAACTAATGTTATTTTTAACATAGTTTTCATGGTTTAGTATTCCTACAGTTTATCATATATTTTAAAAGTTACTGAATGATGATTTTAAGGAGGATTTTGATATTTTGCTTAGTTAGAAAAACTAAACCGATACTTAAATATCTAATAGGCTGTTTATTGTAGATTTTTTTTAAATGACATGTTTGAAAGGGGCTTAAGAACAGAGGAAAGAAGGAAAACACTTACTTGGACCTGGAAGAAGCAGGGATAATTCCAAGTTTAACAATGGCTTCCTTGGTACCAAAACTGGGTCTCAAATGTTGGTTTTTATGTGTGGACCAATTTCTTGCATTCATACCTTTTTTGTGTTGTGCTCAGTTTGAGAGACGGATAGCTTAGAGGTTTGGGGGAAGGGGTCTAATTTGCTGTGAAAGAGGATTTATTCTAGTGCTTTCCACTTTGTTAGGATACT